CCCCCACAGCCCCAGTTTATTCAGGAGATCTTATATATTTCCCCTTTCCAGGGCAATCCATGCATCTCTCTTCCTTATTAGCTTGCTTCTCTGAAGCTGTGGGTTGTAGTCTGATTATCCTTTGCTTTACATCTAGTATCCACTATGGGTGAGTACATGCCATATTTGTCTTTTTGAGTCTTGGTCATCTCACTCAGGATGACATTTTCTAGTTCCATCCATTTGCCTGCAAATTTCATGATGTCATTGTTTTTTACTGCTGAATAGTACTCCATTGTGTATACGTACCACATTTTCTTTATCCATTCTTCAGTTGAGGGACATCTAGCTTGTTTCCAGGTTCTGGAACAATGCTTCTGTGAACATAGTTGAACGAGTAAGTGTCCTTGTGGTATGATTGACCATCCCTTGCATATATGTCCAAGAGTGGTATCATAGGGTCTTGAGGTAGATTGATTCCTAATTTTCTGAGAAACTGCCATACTGATTTCCAAAGTGGCTGCACAAGTTTGCATTCCCACCAACAGTGGAGGAGTGTTCCCTCTGCTCCACTTCCTCTCTAACATAAGCTGTCTTCAGTGTTTTTTGATCTCAGCCATTCTGACAGGTGCAAGATGGCTATCTAAGAGTCATTTTGATATGCATTTCCCTTATGACTAAGGATGTTGAGCAATTCCTTAAATATCTTTTTGCCATTTCAAATTCTTCTCTTGAAAATTCTCTGTTTAGCTCTGTAGCCCATTTTTTAATTGGATTGTTTGATATTTTGATGTCCAGTTTCTTGAGTTCTTTATATATTTTGGAGATTAGCCTTCTGTCAGAGGTAGGGTTGGTGAAGATATTTTCCCATTCTGTAGGCTGTAATTTTGTCTTATTTACCATTTTCTTTGCCTTATAGAAGCTTCTCAGTTTCAAGAGGTCCCATTTATTTATTGTTGCTCTCAGTGTCTGTGCAATTGGTGTTATATTTAGGAAGTGGTCTCCTATGCCAATGTGTTCAAGACTACTTACTACTTTCTCTTCTATGAGAATAAGTGTAACTGGATTTATGTTGAGGTCTTTGATCCACTTGGACTTGAGTTTTGAATAATCTCTTTAATAAAAAGAAAAAAACAAACAAAAACAATCCACTAAGCACGAGGGGACCCCGGAGAAGCACATAGTGGCCCTAAGTGGAGAGAGAGGCTTCTGTGAGTCGTAGGTGCTGCGAAATCCTCACCGTCTCTCTGGATATGGAATCACCTAGGAGATATAGCTCTTGTTTCTGAAGGAGTTTACACAGAAGTTTTTCTGAGGAAAGAAGTCTTGTCCTAGATGTAAGTGGCATCATTCTAGGGCCTGGGGTCCTGGGACAAAGGAGAAGAGAAGAGGAGAAAGCAAACTAAGTAGCAATATTCATCTCTTTCTGCTTCCTGATTGTAGGAGAACTAGGACCATTTATCTAAAGTTCACCATATGACTTTCTACCATGACAGATTGCACCCACCAACCCAGAGAAAATAAACCTTTCCTTTTGTAAATTTCTTTCATAAGTTGTTTTGTTACAGCAACTGGAAAAATAACTAGTGCAGCATCTACTATAGTTAAGAATATTACATCAGTAAGGAAAAGTCATCTTGGAAACCGAGCCTATAAACTTAGAATATTACCAACACCACAATCTCTTCACTTGGCTCCATCAAGCTTCATGGACCCTGGAGGTTCACATATCTCCTTGATGATTTGGAAAGTATTCTGCTAATTCCTGGACTAATTCTGTATTCTGCTTCTGGTCTAGGTGTAGCTCAGGCATTGGACCCTGATACTCTCTCTGCAGCTCTGGAGCCATACCTGGTTGGGAAGGAGTCATGCTACTGACATTAAATTTCTGGTTAGCTCCTCCATATAACAGTACTGCACTATTTTCTTTTCCATGGAATGTAAAAATATATTTGAGGCTGGTTAAATGACCCAAGACCATGCTAATTCAGAAAGCATTTGAGCAGAATACATTTTTGTACCCTAAAGTATGCCATTAGTATTAGACTGTCATCTATTTTCTAGATACCAAAATATTTTATATGTAGTGTTTCCATTATTGTTGACAGTTAAACCCATGGTGTTACAGAGAGATAAAGTCCCAGAGAAGAGCCTTGTTCAGATTTAGGGACTCTTTTCTGCTTCTAAGTCATACTTCTTCTAATCTAAAGTTGGTTTTCATTCTCAGAAATTTTGTCCTGTTCTTCACCAATAATTCATCTGGTTTCAAATCCCAGAGGCTTTCTAGTGTGTTGTCTGACTAAGGATCCCAAGTCAGCATCTATCCTTTCTTCTTTTTTCCCCTCATCTGACGTTGTCCTTTTCATGGGTTGAATTATGATGGTTGTGGTGGGGAGGAGTCTGTACCTTCACATCTAGAATCCTAGCCCTTAGCTTGGGGTCTGAAAATTATAAAGATTCAATCTGTCAGATAATTGTAAAGCTAGGATGTGGCTATTGAAAGGGGCTTGGGATGTGTAAATAGTGTTTCAACTTTAGGAGCTGCCATTCTACCCAGGTGCACGATTGCCTTTGTATTTGTACATTCAGACAAGAACTTTATTACGGTGGTTTGCACGGTGTATCCTAAGAGTATATGTACCCCAGTGTGTTTTCTTGCAGGAAGTAAATACACAGAGTATATTTTTAGGGAGGGATAAATTTCCACTCTTAGGGCAAGTTTAATATTTTTTACCTGCATGATTATACCTCCATATCCACACACTGCTCCCCTTGTGCCTCTAACTTTTGAAGCTTTCCATGAATTAAGGTACATTTAATTTCAGTATCCCCAAAGGTCACTGCGTTTGTATTAATTAATTAATACAAATTAATCCACAAATCAAATTAGGGCCAGTAGTCACCCTGCATGACTTTAATTTGTGAGCAAACTTGGCCCCCCATCAGATGAATGACATCTGGGACAGTTTCCAGCCCACGAGCTGTTCTTGCGCTGTTCTTCTACCTTTGGTAGTATAAGGAGGGTCACTGATACTCCCCATCACTCATACATTTGTGAACTTTTGTTCATACTTTAAAGCTGCCCAAAAGATCCCAAGCACAGTATTTAGCTTTTTGTCACTTTTCCTCTGGGAATTGCAGCTGGTCACATGTCCTGTCACATTTGTTTGCAAGTAGCCCAACCTCTATTGCCTGGTCTTTCCTTATGGGTACCCTGACCATAAAAAAAAATTGAAAAGCAGAACATTTATCTCACTCTCCCCCTTCCCCAGTTTTCTTGCCAAATCAGGGGCTACCATGGAGGATACCTCGAAATTGTCTATTTCCTGTTGTAGTTCCTCCCCAATGTAGGCCAATTTCCTGTGAGAGACAGCTCAGCCTCAAGTGCATGTCTTACCATGCATGGCAGGGTCTATGCAGTCATCAGCACAGCTGCAAGCTACACTATCCCATACCACAGAGAGAAAGATGGCCACACCAGGAATCACCTCACCCTCACCTCCTCCCCAGTCACCTTTGATACCCATTCATATGCCAAGTGTCATATGATTTTTCCTGGAAAGGAGTTAAAGAATACCCCAAATAAAGAGGGAGCTGAAACATCAAAAGAAAGGGTTTTTATTAAAAATCAGACAGTGTACAAAGGAGCTTGTTGGTTTATTTGTGGATCATTGGTGGCCCTAATACCTATACAACCAAGAAATCCTATAACATGTTTAACCTCTGCAGGAAGGGTAGATGCACTAGTGAACAGCTCCACTGCAGCCATTTGTTTAATTCTATGACTACAGGGAGGAAAGGAGCCTTGTGAGGAGCTTGTGAAGGGCCATAAGCCTCAGAAATCTGATGCCCATTTACAAACCTTGAAATCCTTGTAAGCTCCCTCCCTCCCGTGACTGTATCCTAGGATCTCACTGAGTGATCACATCTGCTCATCTTGAATACTGCAATGGTCAACCTGGAGAAGCCATTATACTACATAGAAAACTGTTAAAGAGAAACTCATTTGTAGATATATACTCATCAGTAGGTGTGCACATTCAAGACAATCATACAGAAGCAATTACGTTATCTTCATTCACAAGACCTCAAACTAGAATCAACCCACATGCCTGTCACTGAAGTTACCAAAGTAGGAGATTCTGATATATTCATGCTATAAAGCAATGAACACAAAAGCTACAGAGCACACAGCAATAAATGATGCATCAAAAAAGGATGGACTTCAAAGACATTGTGTTAGAGGAGAAGGCCAGCCCACATAGGGGACTACATACACTCAAGGTTGGCTCAAAATAAGACACAATGATTTAAGTGAGAATAATGGAGTTCAGAGACCAGTGCATTCTTGTGCTGTCATCCATTGAGCTATGCACTTTACATAAAACATGCTAATTATGTCTATGCCTAGAAATCCATAAAAGAAAAATAGAATTGACAAAACTGTACCAATAGACAGAACGATGAACACACAAAATCCAGGCCATCATTATTATATAATTTAATATCAAATTTTATTTTGAGCCATAAGCAATAGAAAAATCCATAAGAATTTCTTGTTTACATTTTTTAAAACTGAAATTTAAGCCAGGCAGTGGTGGCACAGGCCTTTAATCCCAGCACTCAGGAGGCAGAGCCAGGCGGATCTCTGTGAGTTCGAGGCCAGCCTGGACTACCAAGTGAGTTCCAGGAAAGGCGCAAAGCTACATAGAGAAATCCTGTCTCAAAAAAAAAAAAAAATAACCCCTGAAATTTAAAATCATCAAGATAGATATTTTCTAAAGAGTATTTTTCTACTAAAACTAATTTTTTTTTTATTTAAAAAAAAGACCTTGAATTACATAAGGGGGGGGGGAATTCCTAGTAGCAGTTCAGCAAACATGTTTGGATTGTTTAACTTGATTTTATCCTTACCAATCTTTTGCAAAGCTGTCATTTCTGGTGGAATATAGTGACACTGTTTCTGTAGAGAAGAAGTACTTCACTAGATTAATTTTGTGGCTCTAATTCTCAGTTCTCAGTGCCCAGAAGCAATGCCTAGCCCAGCACTCTCCACTGTGCTCACACAGACTCACTAGGAGACCTCCTTAAGGGGATGCCCCTGATCCAGCAGGTCTGGGTGGGCTGGACACCTTCCACAGGTGGGGATGCTGCAATTGCTGGACCATACTTCAGGTAAAAAGGCTTAAACCATTTAGCAAGGTTGACTCATTGTTGTGTCGCTTGCATTGGGATTATTTGTAAAAACAAAGCAAAACAAACAGTAGCAAAGAAAAAGTAGGTTTCTCGGCTTCCTTTCCATTGGTAGAAGGACGCTGAATATTGCTGCATTAAAAACAACAATAACAACAATAGCAACCACATCTAAAAACAGAACAAAACAAAACAAAAAAAAACAACAACAGCAGCAGCAACAATTACAACAACAAACATATGTCTCCAAAGGGTTGTGGTGTACACTAAAAGTTTACAATCACCAACTGAGAGAAATTGCCTTATGGAATGCCTCTTAGACCACATTTCCCTAGAGAGTTTTGACAGCCAGTTCATGTGTGAGGAGAAAAAGAGAAGAGAGCAAAAGGGATTGAGGGTATTTATAATGCATTGGAGACATCAGTCACTTATTAGATATGCAATTTGACTTAGCTCCTTTGTCATCATTCATATCCTGTGAGGTGAGAGTTACTGTCAGTATTTTAGAAATGGAAATCATCATTGTGTAGCAACAATGGCTTTGGCCCTGTATTGTACTTTAAAAGATAGCTCAAAGAACAGTTCTGTGAACCAGGTGGTATAGTGACCAGCTCCGCTTTCTAGATGACAGGGAGCCTAGGAGACATTCACATGCTTCAGTCTGTCAGGTGTCTGGAGATTCAGCCTCATTCACTGCGCCTAGGGTCTCTCTAAATGAGGTCACATAAAGAAGCAGTAAGGCCAGGAATCCACTTAGACCTCCTGTTACACTGTGCCAGGCTGCTGTGCCATATATTTTATTTGTTAATTCTTTCTTTTATTCTAACAATTTGGCCAACTGGTCATCTTGTTTTCCATGAGTTTCACTATTATTACTCCATCTTTTAATTAATTTGCTTTGGGGAGTGCTAATGAAAAGGTATGCATACTGTAATGGCTAGCATATGTACACTATCATAGAAACTTACAGACAGTATATGAAGTTCGAGTCCCCAAACCACATGTAGCCACATGTTAGGGACAAGGAAACTATGAACCAAAAGATTGTTATTCATTTGTCTGGGATTCAGGCTCTAACCTTCTTATCCCAAATTGGTGAATTCTCCTTTTAGGCTTGTCTTCAAAGAGATGAGGGGGAAGAAAAGGAGTCTTCCTTTGGGACTCTTTTGGTCCTCACCTTACTACCAGCAGCACAAGATGATTTGTATTCCCTCTATGAATCATAAATTCTAATCTTAAAGTGAGGAATTAAATAGGCTGTCTATCACATACTTTCCCTGTCATGTTAGTCTTGTAGTTAATATGGTTCGTAAATATGGCAGGCTACTGATACCCTTTCTCCCCCAGTAGCCTGCAGAGCAACTTCTGGGACTATGAAAGCTAGTTAGCTTGGGGGCTTCTAGTTCAGTTTCAGCTTGATGTTTCTATACAGGGCAACCAGGGTATGTGGTCATTAGCAATTGGGTCTTATCGTCAAGTTCTGGTGGGCAACCAATAGTGATAGGATGAATTTACATTTTGAGGGGCATATAGGGCTCCTTGACCTATGCTTTTAATGAGATATCCCATTGTTGGCATTGGAGATTTTGTTGAACAGCCCGTGGTTTCTACAATCAGCTTATTCCAGCCACGAGAGGTCTCTCATTTAAGCTCTTTTTTATATTTCTAAATAAAGTATAATTTTTAGCTTGGTTAAAAGATTGTTTTCACATGGTTTTTTCATCTCTCCTCTTTTTTGGTTAACCCTTCCCATACCTTTTATCTTCCCTATCCTCTAAACTCCTTTTTGTTTTAATCCTTTCCATTTTCAGGATCATGCCTACCCCTATTTTTATATCATAACCATGCACCATCCCCTCTCCTTTAAGGCACCAACCCCCATTTTAGTGACCTCTTTCTAGTTTCTGGAATTCTTCAACTTTAGCACACAGAAGTATAGATTAGAAGCTAAGACACACATATGGGGGAGAATCTATGGAACTGGGTGTAGCTAGAGTTTTCCTGCCTGGCCCACAGTCAGGACAAATCTCTGTCACCTGCCAGTCCCACAGCCACTCAGACCTGACCAAGTAAACACAGAGACTTATATTGGTTACAAACTGTATGGCCGTGGCAGGTTTCTTGCTAACTGTTCTTACAGATTAAAATAACCCATTTCTATAAATCTATACCTTGCCACGTGGCTCGTGGCTTACTGGCATCTTTACATGCTGTTTGTCATCGTGGCTGCTGGCAGTGTCTCTGACTCAGCCTTCCACTTCCCAGCTTTATTCTTGTCCCGCCTATACTTCCTGCCTGGCCACTGGCCAATCAGTGATTTATTTATTGACCAATCAGCAATACATTTGCCATACAGAACATCCTGCAACAACTGGGTTTTCAGTGAAAAGGTTACTCTGCTTAATATAATATTTCACAGCTCCACCCATTAAGCTGAAAAGTTCACAATTTTATTTTTTTGTTATAGTGGATAAAGTTCTGCTGGGCTTGATTTTCATTATCAATTCAGTGGAGCTTGTGATAGTTTTGAGTGAGAAGAACATGCATAAATATTCAGGGGAAGTCTTGGGATAGACACTTGGGATAGACTTTGGTGAACCCAGGGTTTGAATAGACATGGAGAAATAAGAAGAAAATGTTTATGGTGACATACTTAAAGCCAACCTCTGTAATTAGACATTTCTGCATTCGTCCAGCACATTGCCAAGCTTTGCCTCAGGAGAGTAAAACTTCAGATATCTCCTCTGAAAAGCTGTATTGGCAACAGTATCACTTTATAGAGCTGATATAAGAATATGATACATGAAGACGCAGAAGCGCACACAGGTACTAATTTTTTTTTTTTTTTTTTGAGGCAGGATTTTCTGTATTCCAGGTTGGCTTCGAACAGACTATGTATCTGAGGATGACCTTGAATTTTTCCTGATCTTCCTTCTCTTGCCTTCTGGATGCTGGGTTTACAGGTTTGTATCACCAGACATAGATTATATAGTTCTGGAGATTGAACCAAGAGCTTTGTTCATGGCATGCAAACATTCTACCTACAGTTCTACATCCCCAGACCTCAAAGACATCCTAACTTCTGTATAGCAGAGTGAATAAAGTTCCCTTTGAAGTTTGTGCATGCAATTTTATTCAGACAAACTCTCTACCATTTCATACTGTTTTAAGTTAGAAGAAGAATGATAAAGAACTTATAAAATCATATTCTTTAAGTTTTCTTGCTTTAAAAGGGCTTAAATATGGTTAGATATACTAAGATTATGTGACAATTGAGTAAAAAATTGGGATCTTGTTGTAATAATTTGCTTTTATAGAACTATACATTTCTTGATATAACACATTGATTAACTCGCCACGTTTTAGACAAACTTTCTGAACTTCTAAAAAAAATGCAGCATTGTTTATGTTGATAAAAAAGCTCATTTGTTTCAAATCTTCCATTTTATTCAGAATTTTCTCCCAAGTACTTCTCTAAATCAAAAACATAAACTGAAATTCTCTAGCATAAGTAAGCCAAATAAAATGGAGATTTTTTCAATGGTTGTTTGTTAAAAATTGTAAATAAAAAATTACAATATGTGTTTATAGATATTGACCCAAGAGGAAAAAGAAGCATTGATTCATTGTTTATTTAATGTACTTTTGTTGGAGAAAAATGAGTTGCCTCTTTTGGCTATTTATCTCTTTTGTGTCATCAAGTAGTCTAGTGAGAGAAGACCACAATCTTCTGTGTGTGTGGAGGGATCAAGAGGAGAGAATTAGTCTGCTCTGATCTACATTTTGCTTTTGCCCACATGGGTTTATTTAGTCCTGTGGCCACTGCTTTAGGATCTGAATCCTAGGCAACATACCTTTTATGTTACAGAAGACTCTTGGATAGTGAAGCTCTTTTCAAGAACTTTCCATACTAAAGCTCTATGTGAACTGTCTAAAATGTCCAAAGAGGCACGCATGTAACTAGTGCTATGCACTGGACTCCAAAATCCTAATAATTTTCAATAATATCACTTCAAAGGCTACTCCCAAGAAGACTGTGGTCTTACTGTCCACTCCTGGGCCATTTGAATCTGTTATGTAATGCTGGTTCCTCTGGAATGTCCTCTCCCCTTCAGAATGATGAAAGTTCACTCTTTTACCACACTAAGCTTCAATGTCTCATTACCTGGTATTAGAGCAATTATGTCTCCTTGCTGATAAAACACTTTATGAATGAAAGCTGCAGTGAATTTCTCAACATATTTATTGTATTATTATTTTGTCAATCATGAAATCTAAACTTGCAGTTTATTCATATAGATTGTGAATTGTTTTATGGGTGAAGTTGAGTTATGCAGTTATGCTTGGCTAGATTTCTCATAATGACTTTGAGGATATCCCTTTACCTACCTGCAGACTCTAGGTTGGGCACGTGATTCAGAGGAAGGCCTCATATGCTCACTCAGCAAAGGGAGAACACAGGACTTGCTATAGATTAATTGTGCCTTTGTGAAATTCATAAGCTGAATACCTAGCCTGCGATGGAATGGCATTTGGAGGTATGCCATTTAGAGAAGTAATTAAGCTTAAATAAGGTCACAGAGACAAGGCTCTAATCAACCTAATAATTGATGTCTTCATAACAAGAGGAGGAGACACCAGAAATCTCTCTTCCTGAACCTTGGAAAGGTCACATGAAGTCACGGTGAAAAGGTGGCTGTATATGGCTGTATGAAGGTGTCAGAGAGAGAGAGAGAGAGAGAGAGAGAGAGAGAGAGAGAGAGAGAGAGAGAGAGAGAGAGAGAGAAAATCCTTGCCAGAAGCTAGCTGTGCTGGAACTTAACCTTAAGCTTGTAGTCTTCAGAACTGTGAGAAACTAAATGTTAATTGCTGAAGTCTCCCAGTCTATGGCATGTTTTGCGGTAGCAGCCTTAGCAAACAGATTCAACTTGTTATCTATATTTACTGAGCATGGATATTAGCTTATTGCTGTGATATATGGAACCAGATCACAGTTTATATAAAGACATGTGATGGTGTATATCTCAGTGACATCCCCTTAGCTTGAAATCATCGATGACTACTACCGCAATAGTTTGAATGTCATTCAAAGGTGTACATGACAAAGTCTTGGTAGTCAGGATGGTATTATTGGGAGGTCACAGCACCTTTTATTTGTGTATTTATTTGTTTGTTTGTTTTTTAAGACAGGATTTCTCCGTGTAGCCCTGGCTATTCTGGAACTCATGATGTCTGTCCTGAACTCACAGAGATCCACTTGCCCCTGCTTCCCAAGTGTTGGGATTAAAGGTGTGTGCCACTATGCACAGCTAGGTGGTACCTTTTTAAAGGGGTGAAGCCTAGTGAGAGGTCCTCAGGCCATTTGGAGTGTGCTCTTAAGAGAGATTATGGGAGTCATTTTTCAGTCTTCCTCTACCTCCTGAACATGTGATGTGCTGCTCTTTGGCCTATACCCTTTGCCTCTGCCACCAGTTTCTTTACCAGAGGCCCAAAGAAAAGGTCCAAAGCAATGAGACCACCTTAACTTGAGATAGAACCTCCATAGATATGAACTGGATAAACATCTTCTCTTTGTGAAGTTAATTAGGTCAGATATTTCATCACAGCAAAGGCAATTTTGCTAATTCTATTGTGCATTACTCTTCTTCCATGGAGAACTGGATGTTGAACAGTGAGCAGAATGTCACCCAGTTGCCCAAGTCTCATACAACTCCATGCTTTTCTCTTTTGTAGCCTTTACCTTAGTTGTAATATAACATTTATTTTCAAGTGGAAAAATTTCTATAGATAAAGTATGTTTAGGATTGATTACAAGTTGTAACACTAAGTGTTCAATGTATGCATTTTTTATTAAGAGGTTTTCTATTCATTTTACATACCAACCACATGTTCCCCTCTCCTCCCTCCTTCCCCGCCCCAGCCTTCCCCCCAACCCATGCCCCATTCTCACCTCCTCCAAGGCAAGGTCTCCCATGGGGAGTCAGCAGAGCCTGGTACATTCAGCTGAGGCAGGTCCAAACCCCTCCTCCCTGCACCAAGGCTGTGCAAAGTGTCTCTCCATTGGCTTTAGGCTCCAAAAAGCCAGCTCATGCACTAGGGATAGGTCCTGATCCCACTGCCTGGGGGCCCCCTAAACAGTTCAAGCTAAACAACTGTGTTGCTTATCCAGAGGGCCTAGTCCAGTACCGTGGGGGCTCCTCAGCTATTGGTCCACAGTTCATGTGTTGCCACTAGTTTGGCTAGTTGTCTCTGTACTTTTTTTATGCAACAATTTTATTGATGTTTTTCTTCTCCTACATCAGGCTGCAAATTCCATGAGGATGAGGTTATACTTGTCTTCTGTCTCTAGTTCCTACCTCAGAACCCAATGCTTAGAAGAATAACTTCATAATGATAAAGAAACATATAAAATCTCTATTGTTCTGATGCAAACAGCTTTCCATCCACCCACTCCTTTGGGTTTGCTGCTCAGAATGAGAAGTATTAATTGTGCATAATTTTTTCTTTATTTTATTTTATTTAAATGGCACTGTTTTTCATTTATTTTACATACCAACTGCAGTTTTCCCTCCCCATCCACTCCTCCTCCCTCTTCATTCAGAAAGAGGCAGGCCTCCTATGGGCTTGTACAAAGCATGGCACATCAAGTTGAGCTAGGACTGAGCTCCACCCCTTGGGAGAGGGTTTGCCTAAGAGTTCTATTAGATGTGGCACCATCACATCTATGTTCATACATATTTTACCCATTCCTGACTTCTAGTAAATTATCAATAAGGGGATAGGTTTCCTGAGACACAGAGCAAATTTTAAAAATTGTTTAGTGAGTAGGACACACATATATCATGGGTATATATCATGGGGGGTGTTTCATGTCTAAGAAAGACTTAATTAGGTAGGCACTGGACCATTCTCTATCTTCCTCTTCTGTTTATGTAATGCTTGGCCTTTGATTTAGTTACTAAAGCTCTAAATGTTGCTTTAAGGAAATGCATTTTAATTATCACTTTTGAAGATGATGCTAACAGATAGCAAGACCTATTTCTAGCCCTTATTTTCTAAGTTGACTTATTAGTGCAACTGTAGCTGGAGTGTGACGTCATTGAGCCCTTTCAAGGATCTGAGTATAGCCACACAAAACACAGCCTCCCAATGCTCACTTCCATCTGTGACAGTCTCCAGTACTTCTTGCCAGTAAGACAGATCTTGCATCTTTAATAAGAACAACAGGGTGCTTAGCAGCCAGATCTGCATAGGAGAAGCAGCATGCTGGATTTAAAGGTCAGTCTAGGAAAATGAAATTGTTTTGTTTTTCAGTACTTTGTTTTGCAAGCAGGTGATTTGAAGGGCCTCAGATCTTATAGCACCAGGAATTCAGTGTGCAAGTTTTAATAATGTGTGGCTGCATATGGCATTGTATTCTTAGTGTAAATATATTGCTAACATGAGAGCCTCCTGGGATTGTGGAAAGGGCACTTGGTTAGAAGTCGGGAGACCTTGTCCTCTGTTCTGTTCCTGCTATTAATAATAACAATAATAAGAATAGTTCAGCTCCTTCAGTTCTTAGTTTATGTCAGATATTGTGTAAAGTGGTTTAAAATGATGGTCAGGTCTAAGGGGTTGAAATGCCAGTCACAAGGGAATGCAGATATGCAGACACAACATAATTTATTGATTGATTTTTATGTCTTGGATTTTGTCTTCTGATTACCTCTGCTACATCCCACATGCTGGTATTTAAAAAATCAATAGAATTAATTCAAATTAAATACAGCAAAGAGAATTGAGATGTGACTAAAGCTTGTGAGAGTGTAAACCCTGCTTTGGTGTCTGGTTGATCGGATCCCAGTCAGGGCTTTCAGCGTTTCTCAGTTCCACATTGGCACCTGATGGCTGTAAACTCAAGCTCCTTGAAATATCTCCACCCAGATTGTTGGTCTGTTGGTTCGTTCTCAACCTCTGTCCC